ATCCACCTGGCCATGCCGGGCCCTATTAAATGACCAGCCTCTAGTATAAAGATAGGCAAGAAATTCACTAAAACGGTATTTCGCTTAAGCTGATCACAAGTTGTGTTGTTTCCACTTTATTAATATTATTATTAATATAACAGAGTATCAAATATTGGCATATTGTTTTACTAAGTTTTCGCTGATCATTCAAAAAATACGTCTTTAATGTGTTATATAAAAGCGTATCAGGTGGCAGAAGAACAATAGAAAAATGTCAATGAAAATATTCTAGTATATATTTTGACAGAACTAATTTGAAAAAAATTACTTATTCTTAAAAACAATCCTATACCAACAAGCCTATAAAAACCACAACTATTCTTTCATCTTTTTTTGTTTATAATTCAAGTTCAATGCTTTTTTATATTGATAATAAGTGCAATCCCCAAATGTAACGTAACCCAAACACATGAGCAGTCGATGTGACCATCACCCACAACAAGAACGATTCATGTAACTCAGTCCAACCATGAGGGAGATGTATTACCCACAACAAAGCCTGTATAATCTACAACCAGGACCAAATTATGCAACTCATAAACACAATCGTAAGGTAAAGTCGTAATCCATAAATATGCACAGTTCGTGTTGTACAGTAAACAGTCCATATGACAAATAATAATAATAATTTGATCTTGACCTGCAGAAGCAGACATTTCCCAGTAAGTACACGATTACATTATATTGCATATGAAGAGTCTATACAAAAAACTCATATTATGTATAATCCTTTTCTACCTGTACATTGTTTTCAGTGTTGAAAGAAGGAACATGCTTGACTCTCCAGCTAACACCAACATACATTAGTGTAACGTAGGTACTGGAGTAAACAGTTTTTGTTTTCTTTTATCTGATAAACTTACCTTTACGCTTTAGTGACTGACGCTTGGCAAGTACATTTAACTTGGTAATTATGATTGTAGTACATTTAACAACGACGTCGATGGAAGAAACCAAACTACGTAGACTTTACCGTTTCAATGCTTTATCATCTCTGTCCCAGTGAAGGTGTTCATTACCTGCTCACGTTACACGATTTCATCGTTATCTCAGAAAGCTGGATCAACAACAACGCCAAGGTATTTTGGACACACTGTGAAGTTTCAACTAAAATTTACCTCGTGAGAAAATCATTTATCAAACCTCTTTTGCTCTTATCATTAAGAACAAAACGTAGATAAAACTTTGGAACGAAATCAATAATAAGTAACCCGATTACTGACTAGTAACTGCACGCAGTCTGGAAACAGAAGTTAACAGGTGGACGTATATTTATGATACAAAACCATAGGCGGCGCTAAGTCTTTTGCTTGGGTGGGCTATTTTGTCACGTGTTTGACAAGGGGCTGCATTGCTGGGAAGGATCAGTTCGAGTTCCTATATAAATAAACTCTCCTCAGTAACACACATACATTCTCTTTTACTCTGTCTCTCTCTCTCTCCATATATATATATATTGTATAATATTTTGGAATTGGTGGGAACAGTGAACAGTAAGAGATAATTTATTTTGAGAGGCTATGCTTTTCGATGCCTCTTATACCTATAGCATCCGAAATTATAAGAGTTGAATAAATACTGTTACGTCTCTGGTTGTTTGTTAATTTCCGGTATAATTTCTTTCCGATGAAACTTTAGCGACACAAGTACTTTCTTAAATAAAACTAGTTTATTCTTTCTCAATACAACTTTGCAATACACTTAATTTCCACAGTCACTTTCACTTCAACACACTCTATAATTCACAACGATTCACGCACTCTACTTCCGGTCACTACTGCCCTTGACTCAATTGTCCGTCTCTATCTCTGCCTGTCTGCAATTATCTATATGCCGTCACTTCATTTGCCGGCTTATATATATATATACAAGAATAGAGGGTGCGTAGAAAAGACTGAGTTACCACGAACAGACATGATCTTTCTAGAATCTCATGACGTGTTACTAGCGTCACGTGTATTCCGCTGTCGTAACACTGCCCCTTCCTTAATATTGTTCGTCCCGAACAATAGCCACTTACATAAAACCAACTGATAATTAACAATAACTTGATTAAATGTACATAATTTACAAACACAAAATTAAAATTCAACAAAGTCTCTTAATTTTACGGGACGTAACTTCTTCCCTACTGGTCTCCATCTTGTTGGCTTCTGCTTCACGTAAAGTTCATCTGCTCCATCGGGAATCGTCCTATTATCGGTAATAGTCACATCACTGGTAGTAACTTCATTAAGGGCTTCACTGTTTCCCTTTTCAAAACCGGGTAGAATTTCTTCTTCGACAGTGGCTTTTTCAGGTGACACGTCTTCAGTGGCATCTTTTGTTCCATTGTTCACTTCATCCCAACTGAAATGTCCTGGACCGTGATAATGGCAAAGTCTGTTGGCATGCACCACTTTTGCCTTACCTCGCCGACCACATTTTATCTGGAAAGTCACGTCTGAGAGATGATCCACTATGTCATATGGGCCTTCGCATGGAGATGACAACTTAGGAGACGTCCCTTTGGACATCCTGAGATTATACAACCACACCTTGTCTCCTGGTACAAAGCTGACTTCAGTAGACTTCTTATCATAACAAAGTTTTATCGAATCAGCAGACGTTTCAAAGTTTGAATGCACTTGATGGTGAATATCATCCATCCTTTCAGATAACACTTTCACAAATTCTGACACATTTTCAGGCAACTCTTCATAAGGTGGGCGTCCTGTTAACAGATCCACTGGCAACCGAAGTTCCCGACCAAACATCAACTTTGCTGGAGTGTATCAAGTGGCTTCATGCTGTGCTGTCCTATAGGCCATCAACAGTGGAGGGAGTAAGATAGCCCAGTCATCTTGGCGGCTATTACAAAACTTTGTCAATTCCTGTCCAAGTGTACTTTTCTACATCCCATCAGACTGTGGGCGGAGTGGAGTTGTCCTGGTCTTTCGTATGCCAAACC